ATCCAAAGATAACTGAATCTTGTACTTGGTTGTCCACTCGTTAATACCGTTGGCTCCTTGAGTAGCTACTGCACAGATAATATACTCATACAGCAGGTCAATTTGTAGGTAGTCAGCAGGATTGGCTCTATTCTTGGGTGCCCAACCTCTACTACTTCCATTCAGTCGAGCATAGGAAGGTTTATAATCATTGCCAAAGTATGATGAGGACGAGAAGCTACTGTCTGGAATTTTACCGCCACTGGCCAGTCCAATGGCCTCAGTATCACACGCTGCAAGGAAATAAATGAAAAGCAGCTTTCACATCTCATAAAATACTATTTAAGATCTTAAAAAGACAATCAGTCAAACAACCATTCACTACAATAACATGGTCAGTAGAATGTCACCTCTGCTTAATTAACTCGTCCTCCAAGGCAGAAAGTTAAAGTCATTAAATTTCATTTCAACTTACAAAATTGCAACTGACTTATGAATTAAAAGTGGAAAGACTTAAATTGAGTCCTAACAGTTAAGTTATGGCCGTTTTGCGGCACAACTAAAAGACCTTCCCATCAGCGTAAAACTTTCTTAAGCGAATACAAAGACAATTAAATGTTAAGCATAGGAAAGAACGGGTTGTAGCACAGCAAGTAGGTCGCTAAAAAACAATGTGTTAAAAAGTAACAGAGTATCTTAAACAGACCTACAAAGTGAGTGGCAGATCATCGCAATCAACATTGCATAATAATTAAGTTCTAAACTCACTTGGCTTTTGTTTCACTCCAAACACTTCTGTTCTCATACACACACCACCCTGGTGTGTTTGTGGCAGGAATCGTAAATATCTTGTTAACACTCCGTAAACAACATGTTTCATTTCTGAGTTCCTGTCATCATTTCCTCTTAGAAACTGAAAACAAACAGATATTCAAATCTCATCATCAAAATTATTTGCAGGAATCGTAAATATCTTGTTAACACTCCGTAAACAACATGTTTCATTTCTGAGTTCCTGTCATCATTTCCTCTTAGAAACTGAAAACCAACAGATATTCAAATCTCATCATCAAAATTTTTTCCGCATGTTAATAAAATGGTAGGGATAATGACTATAAATGTACACTAATTTTTTGAGCAATTATGTCTCATAGTGTGTAACCTGTACCTTAACTTGTCCATCTTCTCTGTAGTCTGTCCAAGTTGTCCCATTTGTGGATAATTGTAGTGTGTAGGTTTTCACCCATTGATCTACTTTAAAACTCCCTTGGGTGGACACAGCACAGATTATGTGAAGCGTCTGTAGATCAATCTGTAGATATGGGTTAGAGTCACTTGTTCCTGCACACCATGATGATCCCGATGTGTAGTTCAGTCGACCATTCTTAGCTTGTGTGTCAACATTTTTTTCAGAAGAAGCCGTTATTTTACCGTCTGGAATTTTCCTATTTTCCATTCCAAGATCCAGATCAACGCAGCTCCCTACAAGAGAAACAAGATTTATATTTCTAGTTTAATCATGCTCGTTACCGTTATAAGGGAAAATTGAGTGACCATTGAATATATTTGGAGAGCCAATTTAAATCAGGCCATTCACTGCTGCTAAGAATCGTTGGTCATTTTCATCTAATCCACATGGAAATCTCCTTGAGAGGATCTTTCCTTGTTATGAATGTTTATAAATACAAATGACACAGCTGCGCTTACCTGCGGCTAATACAAAAATTAAAGAGAGGGAAGCGATGCGGAAATATAACTTCAAGATATGATCAACTCCTGCCATGTTATTCAGTTAGCAAGCAATCACACTACGTTCTGACTAGCGTGTTATGTCTTTTCGTCTAATAAAGGTCGATATTGCAGGGGGATTTCCCCTTCAAGTGCGACTGACCACAAATATTGTCATCCGGTCAATATGGACATCTGATTGGTCGGTTGATGAAAGTGACGTCAGTCACTGAAGCTAAACGTCAACCTCTTTGAAGCTGCATGCGACACGAAGCTGCATACCACACCAGAACTATTTAGAATCGTTTTTCAAAAAATTGTAACAATTGCTATCAATGCAAGAAAAACTGAAAAAATCCTTTACGAAGCGACCAAAGTAGTTGATGCCTGAAAATACTAACAGTTCTTTTAGTCTACGTTACACTTTATTTTTCCTCTTTTACCTCCACCATTTATTTGTCCAGGGGTTGGAATTATAAATTAATTTTTCCAGCATTAATATAAATAGTTTAGTGTCTCGTAGCTCTGTCTTTCATTCATCTTTGCCATATTCTCCCCGTTGCTAAGTTAAAACCAGGAAGTTTCTAAATATGGCAAGTCTTCCGGAAAAGCTTTAACAAAGCAATTCTTCCTTTCTTGGAAATAGTTGGTTCATTAAACTACTGAAATCACGATTATGACTTCATTTGCCCTTTTAACTACTTAGTGGCATCGGAACTGGCGTCAAATGCGATTATGAACGAATTACATGTCTAGACAAGTGACATGATATTTGAGACCTTGGGTATAAGCATAAAAACAAACTGAATCTATTAAGTATAAATTACTCTCTGACAACAGAGTCACGGAGGCAAAACATTCAATCAGACTGCTTACCACTTTTGTCTTTTCGACTGAAACGAATTTAAGGCACTAAGCGAGGGAAACGTGTGCAACAAGGGACTTTTTTCTTTGGTAGCTGTTTGGGGGTGAGAGGACTGGTCTGAGGATGGTGTGCCGTTTGATTACGTTTATTTTTATATAGTGAGAGAAAAGTGTTTGAAAATGGACTCTCGGATACCTTTTGTTTTTTGTTTTGTAGATGTTGGGAGATGTATACTCCGGTCTGACCTTTGAATGCGTTCAATTTTCACCATACAGAATCAATGCTTTCGTGACCGTGACCGTAATCTTCACCGTAAAGAATCTATGCTTTCGGCAAGAAAAAAGGTGGAGACGATTTTGAAGAGTGCGGGTTCGTACCAGTCTCACTAGTATAAATTAACGTATGTTTCACACCTTTTATTGAGATCGTTGTCATGCTCAAAGTGAGCCTAATTTCATTAATTTCAGCTAAAACTGCGTGACACTTTGAGTGATGCAACAACTAAATTGCATAAAACGTGATAGCATAAAGGTTGAATTCAACACCCTATCACGATAAAAGTTGAACGCGCACTTTTAGATTACCCGATCCATCTATCCTCCGTAAACGGTTCCTTAACTCGGTGAACGGGGAGGCAGAGACTTATTGGTAAGGGGAGGGAGGGGAGGGAGGTGGCGTGGCCGGGTGGTTAGGGTGCTGGACTAGTAATGCGGTGTCCCGGGTTCAAGTCCTCCACCGTGCCACTCACTGGATTTGTTCTCGGTTGCCCCTAGTTCAACTCCTCGGCTGCGCTCTGTAAATAGCCCACTGCTCTGCATCCTGTGAGTGGCGATTTTGAGTCACATTGTTAGTCTATATAGTCGCTGAAAAGCCCCGTGGGAGAGCCTCAATTTTCGTCAGATGCACTAGGAAATTGAAGCTCACAACGGGGGAAAAGACACTTTCCGATTTACAAATATAGCGCGATCGACAAACTCAAGCCGTCCTAAAATGATCATTACTCAAACATATCAAATAATCTATCATCATCCACCTGATATGCTGCAAGGGTATCAAGAACATGATGATAAGGTTTTAAAAATTCTCTGGTAAAAACTCTATGAATTACAAATATTCAAACTACATTTTCAGTATAGAAGTATTAAGAACATCATCATAAGGTCTTTGAAATTTCGCTGCAAATATCTTATACCCTATAAATAATTAAACTAAATACTCAGTGTTGGTCACAGATGAAAAATGAGTTCTTCCACTAGAGGGCGAAAACAGTAGCCCCATCAACTGAAATCTATACTTAACTGAGGACTTAAAAAGATTATCGTATTTTAATATTTTTTAAGAGAATTGGTGACTGAACCCAGGCTAGTATTAATTTGTCACTCTGCAATCATTTTGCAGAAACATGTACGCCCCCAGAGGATTTATCACACAGCTCATAAGATGTAGAAGAATAAAGCTAAATCAACACACTGTAGTTCCTATTTCTTGAACAATTCCTCTCCTATATTTTCCTTCCATTTCTTTCTCAAACCCAACATTCTGATGACCGAATACTTTATTTTCAAACTGCAACGCTTGAGGAAGTTCTGGCTATTGGCCACTGGAAGACACGGGCTGGAGTTCAACACAAGATCCTAGAGAAGACGCACGCTGATCATACGAAGAGTCGGGTGGACCGATAGTGTCACAGTTAGCTTTCTCTGCTGTCTTCTTCCTGTCGATCCGAGTCCGTCTTAACTTGCATCCCATTACACAAATTACCGTCAATAACACGAAAACAACACAGGAAAAGCCGATGACAACGATAAGAAAGATGCTTTGTTTATCTAATTCAGAGAATAAAGAGGAAAGCTATAATAACTTTCAAGTTCGAGCAAACTGCACCTGAAATAAACCTTATTACGTGGTGAAAGAAGTCTACTTGTCAGTTTGGTATAATTCTGAAAAAACTGAATGACAAGTAGAAAATACAATATCAGTAAGGTAAAGAAATAGTAAGGGGTAGGAGGGTTGGGAAAGAGCTCGCTGTTTAAACTAACGTGCCAAATGGGTACTGCTAAGCTGTTTGAGCAGTTATAGATTTGGGTAACGGTGGAATGATTCTTGATGGGCCAGCAGTTCATTAAAAAGAACCAATAGTTGAAGATCGTAATCGCATGACGCCAGGTTGGCTGCTTAGTGTAGAAACGTTCTGATCAGGTGAAGCCTTCGTTATGCAATGTAACAAAAATGATCTTAATTGTCCAACGTACCAGCCACTATCAAAGTTGTAGCTGAATGACTCGCTCCAAACGTGTTTGATGCTGTACATTCATAGACACCGCTATCACGCGGCATCACGTTTCTAATAACAAGAATGTGGCCATCATTGTTAAACTTGGCTCGTGATATACTTGTGTCTCCATCTTTGCTCCACGTAACAGAAGGTTGTGGATCTCCGCTGGCCTCACATGTCAACACTGCCAATTCACCAACTATTATGGTTGTCGTTTCTGGTAGTTCCTTAACCACTGGCTTATCTGCCAAGAATATATTGTAAAGCGTACAGTTTTTAAGTTAAAACACACAAAACTAGCAATGATCATACACCAAGGAGAGTCAGGTAAGTTTTTTGGGGTTACACAAGAAAACTATTCTAAGACTGCGCCGAGACGTTTCGCACTTGCCCACTGCCACAAATAAATTCGTCAATTCTGCATGGTTGATCTAACCTTATACCTTAATTACTTCGCTTACGAAACCATGAAAGATTATAAATGGTTAAAGCCACCTAACCAATTCAATAAATACATTTATAAAATCGCATAATACCTTAGGTTTTCAGCGCTATGTAGCTACTCGAGGTGTACAGAGCCTGCAAAGACAGCCCATGAAAACATTGTTAGCGAAATTTCCTCGACCAAAAGAAGTTCATACGTAACGCTTAAAGGAATTATAAACGATCGCTTTTCTGAAAAATATTCACCTAATGAAGTTTGATGAGTAAGATAACAATGTGAAAAAGAGAAAGCAACTAAAGCACTGTAACAGTACATGTCGTGCTTTGCCTAAGTAATGCCTCTCTAAAACAGTCTACATCATAAAGTAAAGAGCTTTCTTTGTAAACCTAGTAACTCACACGATGTTTGGAAATTAGGGGGCATAAAAAAGACGTTATTTGGAGTGGGATGATTGTAACTGGATGGAAAATCTTAAAGGTGAGCGACTTACTGACTAACAGAAAACTAGATCTGTCGTTAATATGACAAGTAGGCCACCAGTCTTCTGTATTAGAGTGTTAACTAAAACACTTGTTGATCAAAATACCTCTGAAACAAAAGCTCTGAGAAATACTCTGTAGTTCGTATTCAGCTGCAATGGTTTGTTGTAATAATACTCTTCGGCATCACTGCTTTTGCTCCTTATTTTACTGCTTGAGTGGACTCCATCTCCAACAGTAAATTCTTGATTTTTGTAAAAATCATCTCCTCCAAACTGGAAAGTGACATAAGCTGCAGGCAGTGGAGATTTATGAGCGTCCTCATAAGTCATCAGGTCTTGTGTTGTAAAATCTGCTTGTGGGTTTACGACACCAGTGTAGTCTGACCGATAGGTTATGACGATGACTTGGAAAAAACTGTTGGATCAAGATTTTTGTTAAAAATCATAATATAACGCTGATTAGTAGTGCCAGTAAAATAGTAATCAAAGATTACAATGGGTTGGCCTCACTTCCCCCAGTGATTAGTCAATACAATAAAACATAGCCATGCTTGCAACCAGTAAGATGCGAGACTAACACTAATCAGTACCTCGTAGCTAGTGTTCTGCCGTGCTTCAAGTTGTTTATTTAAGTTCAAATTGGCTCACTGTTGTATTCGCCCTTTTTCTGATTGGTCTTTGTTTTCATTGCAGCACTTGCTGTTACGAAAATACTTAATCAAAATGCTCTCTATGAGTCTATGAGTACCCTGACCACAAAACAATTATTTATCCTGTCTAGGAATAACTAAAACATGCATTCGTTGAAAATCCAAAATTTCAAAATGAAGTCAAAAGTCGTTTGATTTTTAAATGTCATGGATGGAGAAAAACAAGAGGCTACTACAGGATATAAGGAGGTTAATGAGAAGAATTTTTAAGAGATCATATTTACAATGCTAATAAATTCACGTGAACTACCATAACTACGGCCAACCAAAAATCTACGATAATTTACATTTGACTCATTCTTTTTGAAAATGAATTTTTCTTCTACTGGGTTGGGGTTTATCGACTGAGCTTACTAGAGCTTTGTTCCAGTTGAGAACTAGCCTAAAAAATCTCTCCCGGTGTGAAGACTATTTTAGATATCGTGCATTTGTTAAAAGAGGAAACTAAAACTTGCCACAACGTACTTTGCATGTCCCGGGAAATTTGGGAACGTTATTTTTGCCGTGATTCCTCTATCACTAGAATTCGTAGAAAACGCTGGTGGAGAAGGCTTTTCAAGAGACCAAAGTGTACCTGTGAAAGGAAACTTAATGTCCGTTGGAGAGGAAATTTACGCAAGAATAGTTTCTTAAACCAAATTATCAATTTTTTTAGGAAGTGATCCTAGCTTTCTACTGATCAACATCACCCAGGTAATCAAAGATCACCTAAATTCATCGTCATCCCTGACTAACGAGTCATACATGATATTTACCAGGTGGGATATGAAATGTGATCAATAAGCTACGGGATACAACAAAATGTCTACCCGGAGCAGATGGAATTTAGCAAATAGCGATAGCTCCCTCTCTGAAAAGAGAAGAATGAATTTCAAGTCGTTTCTCGTTACAACATTGAATGTAAATGCCAAGCAATTTAATCCCCTTTTCCTCTTCAATGAAGTATCCAAAGACGTCGCCAAGGTATAGAGTTCAGTTAAGGTTCTGCATATACTGCAAGGCAGGTATGCACGAGACTTGTAATAGAGTCTGATAATATCAGCGACGCAATCTACGAGTTTTGGTGATAAGCCAACATGCTTAAAGTAAAAAAGTTTTGCGTCTTTTACTCACCCAACGTCTGGATCACTAAAGGTTTGCTGTAAGGTCCAGGTCCAGCCTCAGTGAAAGCTCTAACAGACACTTCATAACTTGTGCAAATTGAAAGACTGGAAAACAGCATCTCTGTTTTGGTTGTGTTGTATGTCGAGTTAAAGGAAGCGTCAACCGAAGTGCAACTTTCTTTCAAAGTAAGTCTAACTTGATACATTTTGATTAACCCATTTGCTACCTCTCTGGTCAAAGCATCCCAGGTTATCTGATATTTTGTGTACTCAACTTTGATAGACGACACATTTTCTGGTGCACGGCTGGGTTCTAACGCAACGAAAAAAAAGGCCCGTTGAGTTTACAGTTTAAAATCAAAATGAAAAATTATAACATTTTCTGCAAACTTTTGCACTAGTTAAAGAATGCATAACATACCGTACTCATAGGTTTTCACAGAAAAAGAGGCATTCTGTCCAGGTTTGATAGTTACAGCTCTGACATAGAAATGATAAGTAACTCCACCCAGGACATCCACCAAGTAACTGAACGTATTTCCTCCAACACTTCGATTCGTTTCACCTTCTTGGTTTGCATAAAACACAGTGTAACTCCTAATGATTCCATTAGCTTCTGTTGGCTTGCTCCAAGTCAAGTTTATTCTCGGACCGTGTAATTCGGCATTCGGGGCAACTTCCTTATAGGAAAAGGATAGAGGAGAGCTCGGTGCTGATAAGAAAATCAAAATTGGAAAGTAATAATATTTTTTGTAGGCATCAAAACGTACCTACTTTCATTTCCTTTAGATGACAAAGATTTTTCAAAATGTGAAGGATAAGACCAAACAAAGCAATATTTTGTATGTTCTCTTTTCGTTAAGCAAAACTCTCAAAAAAATTAAAATTTTCAAGTCTCTCGTCGATCCCAGCTACAATCTGTACATTCATATAAAAGAAACAATTACTTAATAAGAGGAATAAGACGTTTGTTCTTTTTCTGAGAGTCGACAAAATACCCCCAACTCTTTGGAATTATAAGTTAAAAAAGCACTAGAGAATGATCTACCCCACATAAACATCCGGAGAAATTCGTCTTTAAAGCTTTTATGCATGAAATCACAAATTAAATTCAATCCGTACTTGGCTATTGGATTCTTACCATCTTCTTTTGTTCGCTCGACCTTAACGGCACTTGTCGGTCCTTCGCCAGCAGAAGTGAAGGCCAACACTTGAAATTCATATTCTGTGTACTTATTAAGCCCACTAACATCTCTTCTTAATGATGCTTCACCGTTAATAGTTACTGTGGTCGCGGTACCCTCCGAGCTCCTTTCCTTGTAAAACAATTTAAATCCTGTGATGATTCCATTTCTTCCATTTTCTGGTGGAGGCTGCCAAGAGACTATAAAACTTGTAGAAGACTTTGCCGTCACAGATACGTTAGCCGGAGCTTTAGAAGGAGCTGCAATTTAATTACCGAAAGAAAAAAGAAACAAAATATAAAACGTTTAGTTACCCAAGACATAAAATACAAAGTCTTTGTTCGCTCGAGTTTTACTAAGAACCTCCTAGCTGCCCTTAACTTGTTGTTGGGAACTTGTTATTTTCAGTGAGAATAGAAGTCAAGAGAATTCTGCCATTTCATGTCTTAGAAAACGAATTTCATTTCATTCGTTCATGAAAGATCTACTGGTTCAAATTGATGTCACCTAACAGGAAAAATCCAATAAAAGAAAATTCCTATTTTCTGCAGGGAGATGTTTTTTCACCTTGTCGCGAGTGGTGGGACAGAGAAATAATTCTGAGTTCTCATGAGTTATCGCAAGTCCGATTTTCAGATTTCGCGCCCAAACGCTCTACCACTGAGCCACATTAACTCCACAAAATGCTAGACCATCTCCGTGACTATGATCAAATGTGAAACAGCCCCTTCCTAGTGTGTGTGACATGAAATGACGAAAATCACATGCCAGGCTTAAAATTCATCATCTTTCTTATTCCTATTTTCTGTTCCCAAATGATTTATAATTTCTAACCATCTTCCTTTGTTCTCTCTACATGAAGGGAACTCTTTGATCCATCACCAACAGAAGTAAAGGCCAACACTTGAAATTCATATTCTGTGTACTTATCAAGCCCAGTGATATTTTCAGTATGGATCGATACATTAAAGACAGTACTTCTGGTTACTGGTGCTACAGAATGCTTCTTCTTGTACAACAATTTATATCCTGTTATAATTCCATTCCTAAAGTTTGCTGATGGTAACTGCCAGGATGCTGTAATACTAGTAGAGGAGCTTGCAGTCACAGAAAAATTACTTGGAGGTTTTGAAGGCACTGAAAAATGTAATAAGAAGTCACCAAAAAGAAATTAAATAAGTTGACTTACTGAACACACACACACACACACACACACACACACACATGGAGGAAAGAAATAATAAAGGAAAAAAGGGCAAACGGACCAATAAACTAAAGAAATAATACATAAAAAGTCTAAGCAGGTCAACTTGAAACTTCCACTGAGTTCATGACCAATCGTTATTAAGCGACAAATATACACAGGTATAATAAGTGAGTAGAGGAGAAGAAATAGAAATAATCCTTATCGCCTCATACTACGGAAACCGCCGACGTGATAGACCACTTGGCTCGTACACAGACTCTACCTTTACCTATAATAAGTCAACTTCATCGTTTAAAATTTGGTACAAAAAGCGTAGAAGGGAACATGGGAACTGAAAGGAGAATTCCGTTTTGAACTTCAGCACATAAACACCTTCGCACGCGTGCAATTTGTACCTCACAGTAAGACGACAAAATTGCATAACAATGTGGCATTTTTAGCAGGGTCAAAAATCACCGTGTGGTCATTTTATGAACATAAGTAAGCCTTCATACAACCACTTCTCACCATCTTCTTTTGTTCTCGTAATCTCCACGGAACTGTTCGGCCCATCACCGACAGAAGTGAAGGCCAACATTTGAAATTCATATTCTGTGTATTTAACAAGCCCAGTGATATTTTTAGTGTCAGTTGTGCCATTGTTGATAGTTATCATGGTTGCTGATCCCCCAGACCTCTTCCTTTTGTAAAACAATTTAAATCCCACAATGATTCCATTTCTGGAGTATGTTGGTGGTAACTGCCAGAATGTTGTTATACTGGTAGAAGAGCTTGCTGCCACGGTGAAGTTACTTGGATATCCCGAGGGAACTGCAGTGAGGGAAAGAAAAAGTCTGAAGTGTATAACTAACATTACTTCTTCATAGCTTCCCGGCATAGCATTGAATAGAGCAATGCAGTTCCGTTTATTTGCCATTTTATCAGGCATGCAGGTCGCCAACCCTTTTTTCTGTTACTTCTCAAGACTGCAAACTGATAGCGAACATTTCAATCATAAGACCTAACAATTAAATTCCTCGGTCATTTTCTCACCATCTTCCATTGTTCTTTCAACTTCTACAGAACTTTTTGGTCCATCACCAACAGAAGTGAAGGCTGACACTTGAAATTCATATTCTGTGTACTCATCAAGTTTAGCTGCAACTCTGGTACGAGTTGTTCCGTTGTAAATGGTTAAGCAAGTCGGTGCCAAGATGGAGCCTTTATTTTTGTAAAATAATTTAAATCCTGTGATGACTCCATTTCTGGAGTCCTTTGGTGGTAACTGCCAGCCTACTGTAATACTGGTAGAAGAGCTTGCGGTCAAAGTAAAGTTAGTTGGAGCTTCCGAGGGAACTACAATTTGGAAAAGGAGAAGTTACATAACATCTTTAGTGATCAGGCTTATGATTCAAGTAATAAAATTGTGTCAAAAAACAAACATCAAACGTTTTGTTTTAACTTGAATAAAATCACCGGGATATGTATGCAATTAGGATAGACGACGTTTGCCTCTCGAAATCTATGTTTTCCAACAGCTGCTGAGTGGTAAAATGGTAAGCGGACGTCTCGTGATAAACACAGGTGACAGATTATGGACACTCCCATCGAATGAACAGCAGGAAAATCAATATTTTAAAAGAATAGGTATTGTCTTACATTAATCAGTTATGCATTTGAATTTTCATTTTATAAAATAGGGTCACTTTATTTGGAAAGCGAAGAACAAATTGGCGCTTACCATCTTCCATTGTCTTTGCAAATTGAAGTGAGCTCTTTGGTCCATCACCAACAGGAGTGAAGGCAAGCAATTGAAATTCATACTCTGCGTACTCATCAAGCCCAGTGACATTTCTAATATTGATCGTTCCATTGTTTAGAATTATCATTGTTGCTGAAGCTGCAGAATCTATCTTTTTGTAAAACAATTTAAATCCTACGATGATCCCGTTTCTGGAGGCTGTTGGTGGTAACTGCCAATAGGCTGTAATACTGGTAGAACTATGTGCAGTCACAGTGAAATTTTCTGGCGCTTTGGAAGGAGCTGAGAATTCCACAAGGAAAAATATTAAATCGCGACCGGTAAAACTCTTGACAGAGTATTGTTGCCTCAGTTTCATCAACCAAATATATATATCATGTACAAACCACAAATCGTCTACGAAACTACAACCAGTCATTTCTATACAATATCAGTGGTGTTTTTCACCTTAAAATAGAACCAAACATTGAATTATGATGAGTCAACAAAGTTTAAATATTTTATATCACAGTCATATCGTTACATATTTCGAGTAACAGATATTTCATCAGTTTTCCTATAATCAAGCTTTGTAGACAAAGAAAACCACTCCTCTTACCATCTTCCGCTGTCCTTTCCACTTCTACAGAACTGTTCGGCCCATCACCAACTGATGTAAACGCCAACATTTGAAATTCATATTCTGTGTACTTATCCAGCCCAGTGACAATTTTATAGCGACTTGTGCCATTGCTAATAGCTGAAGTGGTTGATAAATTTATAAATCCTTTCTTTTTGTAGAATAATTTGAATCCTGTGATGATTCCATTCCTAGCTTCTACTGGTGGTAGTTGCCAAGACACCGTTATACTAGTGGAAGAGGTCACCACTAAAGTGAAGTTATTCGGGGATCTTGAAGGAACTACGACAAGATACAATTAAAATCTTCAGAATATTTTCTCCAATACACCGAATCGAAATATGGCGTCCAATTTGAATTGCCAATGTTCTCGACTTACTAGCCTCTCACACATGTGATAATCCTTTTGTGTTTCCTCGTGAAGACGAGGCTAGTAAGTAAAAAACAATGGTAATTCAAACTGGACGCCATATTTCGATTCGGTGAATGGAGAACTGCAGCATGCAGTATGGTGTTTGATACAACAAATGCATAACTTTACATGTTTCATTAACAACACGAACTCAAGATATGATGCTCGAATTGTGCAGCGAGAAATTACGATTCATTCAAGGGATCTCTGGCGCATTGTGGAGGATAAATCTTGCTGCATGATCTGACTTTCTTTTCAACAGTAAACACGTTAAGCAGATTCATCCAAGATCTATTTCGCTACCTTTTAAATCTATCAATAGTTATATGACAATTTACTTGAATAATCTTTTTTGTATTTGTAATTTACAGACGCAGTTTAAAATAAATTCATCTCCCGTTCCGTATGGGCCCAATCATGATGTCAGAGATGATTTCGACAGAGCCCGAGACCATTGTCGTCAGGGCATCGCAATGGGTCCCTTAAACTACATTTTATTAAGCTTCCACTTGATTTACAATTCTTTTAAAGCACATTCTTATTTAACATATGCACCATAATAAAGATAAGTGTTTTAATCCATTGTACAACTTGCAAGATAGAAAAAGGAGGGTTGAAAATTGCCTTTTGTTTAAGAAATATAACTCAACCTCCCTATGCCGGGATTACATTTCACGAAGATGTACACTATCTGAGCAGTATACCATAAATGCCAGTTTGCCCTATTCTAAATTCAATATCCTATAAAGATTAAAGGTTCATGGTTTCAAGAGGTGAGTGTAGTCCTCAGGTAGTCAATGGAAAGTGGCCAATGTTAATGTAAAATTGCTTAGTTTCTTTACTTAGTTCCTACCATCCTCCTCTGTTCTAACAACGACGACAGGGCTCTTTGGTCCATCACCAACAGATGTAAAGGCCAACACTTGAAATTCATATTCTGTGTATTTATCGAGCCCGGCGATGTCTTTGGCTTCGACTGTTCCATTAGTGATATTCAGAATGACTGGTGCTGCTGTAGTAACATTCTCTCTGTAAGATAATTTAAATCCTGTAATAATTCCATGCCTGGATTCAATAGATGGAAGCTGCCAGGATGCTGTCACACTCGTGGACGAGCTTGCGGTTACGTTTAAGTTACTTGGAGCTCGGGATGGAACTGCAATAGAAACGAAAATCATGAATAACTTTACTTCTACAAAATATGAGACATGTTTTAGAAAAGAACGTCTTTTAAACAAAGATTAGCGGTCAGGCGTGGAGCCATAAAGGACTTTAACCGAGCAAACCTCATTAGTTACAGGTATGGTTATGGATTAGAACCAATAATTGCAACGTTATGTAACTGCTAAACTCGACGAGTTTAAGTAGATTAAGGCGGAAGATGATTAATCGATTCCCACGAATATCTAAAATGTACTTAATTTGTATAAGTGTTTTAAACCAATAGACAAGAGGAATACAGATACCATCTTCCATTGTTCTCTCCACAACAACAGCACTCCTTGGTCCATCACCAACAGAAGTGAAGGCTAACACTTGGAATTCATACTCAGTGTATTTATCAAGCCCATTCACATGCTTAAAACGGATTTGTCCATTGCTTATTGTTAAAGCCACCTGTAATCCTGCGGAACCTTTCTTTACGAAGAACAATTTAAATCCTGTGATGATTCCATTTCTGGAGTCTCCTGGTGGCAACTGCCAAGTCGCTGTGATAGCAGTAGAGTTGCTGGCAGTAACGGAGAAGTTACCCGGCGCTTTTGATGGAACTGTAATTAAGCAACAAAGATTCTAGAAAATTAAATTAGATTCAGAGCATAAACTACCATTCTCCATGTAATATCATCACTATTGATAGTTCATCCGAATTCAAATCAATCACGAGGCATTTATGTTTAAAATTGTTTAGTTATTAGTATAAATTTATTACCATCTTCCTTTGTTCTCGCTACTTCAACAGAACTCTTTGGTCCATCACCAACAGAGGTAAAGGCCAACACTTGGAATTCATATTCGGTGTATTTCTCTAGTCCAATGAAATCTTTAGTAAGAAACGTCCCATTCCTAATGGTTATAGTGTTTGGTAACCCGGTGGAACCTTTCTTTTTGTAGTACAATTTAAATCCCTGAACTCTTCCATTTCTGAAGTCCTCCGGCGGCAAATGCCACGATGTCATAATACTGGTAGAGGAGGAAACTGTCACAGTAAAATTGCTTGGAGATTTCGATGGAACTGCCATTAAATATAAAATTAAATACATTAAAATACATTTCTTACATTCAAGGAAGCCGAGGATAGCTATAAAATAGTCCACAAAGGACAAAAGATCTTAATGTCTTGTCCGACAAAAACTCACAATGACCAATGCTGGGCTTTCGCCGAAATTACGATCTTGGATCCGCTATAAAAATCATTTGTTTACAGCGCTTTAACAGATTTCTTCTTTTACATCTCCATCGAAAGAAAGTTCTGTGAGAGAAAGGGAAGTATATACTGATTTAAGTAAGAATTGACTTAATTCCTTTTAATCTCTTACCATCTTCCCTTGTTCTTTCAATCTTAACAGAACTGTTTGGTCCATCGCCAACAGACGTGAAGGCCAACATTTGAAATTCATATTCTGTGTACTTCTCGAGCCCTGTAACATCTTCATTGCTGGCTGTTCCATTGTTAATAGTTATCATGGTCAATAGATCCCCAGAGCCTTTTATTTTGTAAAACAAGTTAAATCCTAGAATGATTCCATTTCTGGAGTCTGCTGGTGGTAACTGCCATGATGCCGTGATACTGGTAGAAGAGCTTGCAGTTAAGATGAAGTTACTGGGAGATCCCGAAGGAACTGCGATAGGGAAAAGAAAAGGTCTTCAGCATCACCCTTTTCAATAGCCCTATCATGCGCAACTAATACTGAAAAACAATGCATGTGCGATATTCCCGTTTCTGAAGTCTCCTGGTGAAAATGCCACGAATCGCTTAGACCACGAGAACTAATTGTACTTCCAGAACAATTTCTGGACCTTTGGAAGAAACTTGTTTAAATTCAATAAGCAGACATTAAAAACATTTAAAACAGAACCACTAAAACTTTGGACAAAATAGTATTTGAATGTCTTCAAACCAAATATAAATATCGGGTACAAATCATAAACCATCTAGGAAACTACAAACTGTGATTTCTATACCATATAGGAATTTTTTTGTTCTATTTAGGAAAAACTGAATAAACTAAAATTGTCAAGAGCCAAAAAGAATTAACATAGTTTCGGAATGAATATTTCCATTTTTTCTTGAAGCCAAACTTTACTTATTTTACCGCTTAATGGACAAAGAAAAGTTTAACTCCTACAAATCACGTCTCCTCTTACCATCTTCTGCTGTCCTTTGCACCTTTACAGGACTGTTCGGCCCCTCACCAACAAAAGTGAATGCCAATACTTGAAATTGATATTCCGTGTACTTATCCAACCCGGTAACAATTTTACGGCGACTTGTGCTATTGGTAATAGTTAAAGTGGTTGGTAGATGTAGAAATTCTTTCTTTCTGTAGAACAATTTGAATCCTGTGATAATTCCATTCCTGACGTCTGTAGGTGGTAACTGCCAAGTCGCTGTGATACTGGTGGAAGAGCTCACTACTACAGTGAAGTTATCCGGGGATCCTGTAGGAACTGCAACAAGAGACAGTTGAATTCATTACTACATTATGAAACTGTTGCTTCAATATGTCTCCCATAAACCACAGTCGTAATCTAACATCCAAGAGGAGGATGTAAATATTACTGTTTTCAGTTCACCAAACGGCATGCAACATAAACGGGAACAGAACATTCCCTTTGTATAAGACATAAAGTCGAATCCCGATAATCGAACCATTGCGAACCTGTCTTTGGTAAAGGTCACTTTCAAATACAGTTTATGATAATGGCTCAGATGTGAACGTAAAATTGCTAAGTCTCTAGTCTCCTACCATCTTCCTTTGTTCTTCGAACAACAAGAGGACTCCATGGTCCATTGCCAGCAGAAGTAAAGGCCAAAATTTGAAATTCATATTCTGTGTACTTATCGAGGCCCGTGATCTCTATAGTCTCGACGGTTCCATTCGTGATATTTAAAATGACTGTTGTTGCTACAGGATCTTTCTTTTGGTAGGATATTTTAAATCCTATAATAAATCCATGTCTGAATTCAACAGATGGTAACTGCCAGGATGCTGTAACAGTCGTAGAGGATCTCGCAGTTACGCTGAAATTTCTTGGAGAATGGGACGGAACTGCAATTTAAATTTATTTAATTAATAGCTTTATTTCCATTTTGTATGAGATGTTTCTGCGGAAAACCTCTTTGGTCACATTTAAGGAGTTTTCTAGGTCGTTGTGGGTCAATAAAGAACGTTACCTATGCTACACTGTACTTTTAGTGCTAGCTTCTAGCTTCGAAATTAAATAGAATAGGCAAGAAAAAAGTTAACAATAACAAACGTTTAATGTGTACTTAATATAAAGTATTTTAAACAATGAAAAGAAAGGAATACGGATACCATCTTCCATTGTTCTCATGACAACAACAGTACTCCTTGGTCCATCACCAACAGACGTGAAGGCTAACACTTGAAATTCATATTCGGAGTATTTATTAAGCCCTGTCACATGTTTAAAACGAATTTGTCCGTTGCTGATAGTTAAATCGACCGGTAATCTTGCAGAGCCTCTCTTCCTGAAGAACAATTTAAATCCTGTGATAATTCCATTTCTGGAGTTTGCTGGTGGTAACTGCCAAAATGCTGTAATACTAGTGGAATTGCTCGCCATTACTGAGAAGTTACTTGGAGCTTTAGAAGGAGCTGTAATTAAACAACGGAAGTGGAATGTACATTAAATCATTTAAATTCATTCCACAAACTATAATTATCCATGTAAGATTACCATTACGGATATTTATTCATCAACTGACGTTAATAATAACCAATACAAGTTTCCATTGCAAATGCTATATTTCAGCCGATCCTGTTAATAACGCAAGCAATGTTGATAACTTCAGTAAGGGAAGACTGTAATTATGAAAAGATTATTAGACAACCTTTTTTTACACAAAACAGCAAATCTCTTCTGAGATGGCAGCCACATTTGGTCGTTAGTAATTCTCTTTTCTTACCATCTTCTTTTGTTCTTGCAACTTTAGCAGAACTCTTTGCTCCATCCCCAACAGATGTGAAGGCCAACACTTGAAATTCATATTCCGTGTACTTATCTAGTCCAAAGACATCTCTAGTACGGACCGTCCCATTCCCAATGGTCAAAGTGTTTGGTAACCCAATGACGCCTCTCTTTTTAAAGAGCAATTTAAATCCTCGCACAATTCCATTTCTAGAGTCCTTTGGTGGTAACTGCCAGGATGCTGTCATACTGGAAGAGGAACTTGCGGCTACAGTAAAATTTCTTGGAGATTTTGATGGAACTGCCGTCAGAAAATTAAGACATTTCTTCAGACGTAATTATACTCATTCAAGAAAGCCGAGAATAAGTACGAAATACTCAATCGAAGTGTAAAGGGCATTGTAGGCCTTTTCGTATGAGTCTTTCGATCCTACTGAGTTCTTCTAATATATTGATCGAAAAAAAGGGTTCGTGGAAATAATTCAACGTTAATAAGTAAGAGGAGACACATCTTTTATTTTCTTACCATCCTCTTTCGTTCTCTTAATCCTAACGTAACTCTTTGGTCCATCACCAACAGAAGTGAAGGCCAACACTTGAAATTCATATTCTGTGTACTTTTCAAGCTCAGTGACGTCTTTAGTTTGAGTTGTACCATTAATAGTTATAGAGGCTGGTAACTTTGCAGAGCCTTTCTTTTTGAAGAAAACTTTAAATCCTGTAATAATTCCATTTCTGGACTTAGCCGGTGGTAACTGCCAGGATGTAGATATACTAGTAGAACTACGCACAATTAAAGAGAAGTTGCTGGGGGCCTGTGATGGAGCTGTAAATAAATATGAGAAGGAAAACTTTATTATGATTGAGTAAGTTGAGAGGGGAATTATAGTTGAGCCTTTTGAGTTAAGAACGGAATTTAAAAAGCTCTTACCATCCTCCTTTGTTCTTTCGACCATTGTAGAACTCTTTGGTCCATCTCCAACGGAAGTGAAGGCTAACACTTGGAATTCATATTCTGTGAACTGAGCAAGCCCTGTTACAGGTTTGCTACGAACCTTCCCATTTTTAATTGTTAGTAATGTTTGTAATGTTGGAGAACCTCTCTTTTGGTAGTACAATTTAAATCCAATGATAATTCCATGTCTGGAGTCCGCTGGTGGTAATTGCCAGGATGCTCCAATACTGGTAGAAGAGCTTGCTTTCACTGTAAAGTTACTCGGAGGTTTTGATGGAGCTAAAATCAAACAACTCGTAGATTATAATAAAATAACAAAGCTCTGGATACGAGAAAAGAAACGTGCGCAGATGTACCCGTACAACAGGTACATATAAGTGTTTATCTTAAATTTCTTACCATCTTCGTTCGTTTCGCCAACCTTGATTGAACTCTTTGGCCCATCACCAACAGATGTGAAAGCCAATAACTGAAACTCGTACTTTGTGTATTTAGCAAGCCCTGTCAACTTTTTATAGTGAGTTGTGCCATTTGAAATAGTTAGCCAAGTAGGTCTTGCAGCAGAGCCATTCTTTTTATAGAACAATTTATATCCTGTTATTATTCCATTTCTGGAGTCTGCTGGTGGTAACTGCCACATTACTTCGATACTGGTAGAATTGCTTGAAGTCACAGTAAAGTTAGAAGGAGCTTGCGAGGGAACTACAATTAAAATACACAACCGAAGTTAAACAACAATTTAGTAATTTCGATTAAAAAATGCAGCTGAGCATTTATGAAATAGTCGCCATCTATGAATTAAATGTTTCAAATATAATACCAAAATTGATACGCAATGGGCCGTTCAAAGTAACTCGTTCAAAGCCCTACCAGTTAAACAAACCCGTACCAAAATCTAAAATTAAACTGAGTACATACCAAACCTTATTACAAGTATTTCATTTTCTCACCATCTTCTTTTGTTCTCTCAACTACAACAGAACTTCTTGGTCCATCACCAACTGAAGTAAAAGCCACCACCTGAAAATCATACTGTGTGTACTTATCAAGCCCAGTGACAGCTTGACTTTCAATTGTTCCGTTGTTTATGGTCAAAATTCTAGGAAGCGCTGCAGAGCTTTTCTCTCTGTACAACACTTTTAGTCCTCTGATGACACCATTTCTGGAAATTTCTGGCGGGAGCTGCCAGGATACTGTCACACTTGTAGAATTACTTGCAGCCACGGTGAGGTTGCGGGGTGCTGTATATGGAACTGTGATGGAGACAATAACGCCTTACTATATTTTTTATCACATACACAACTACATAAAAGAAGGAATAAACTAGTTGATGGATAGATACATGGTGATGTTTTAATGGAGGAATAAATCGATAACTGTCCACCATTACCATATCAAATTGCAACTATAGAAATAAAAGAAAGGTCAACATTACATTCAGATAGCAAAGGACAAAAGAATTAGTCTTTAAGAGTACAATTTTGTTAAATGGCGCTTGATTAGGATTTAATCAATCTGAATTATTACCATCCTCATTTGTTCTTTCGAAACGAAGAGGGGTTTTTGGTCCATCACCAACAGAAGTGAAAGCCAACATTTGAAATTCATATTCTGTGTACTTTTCAAGCCCAGTGACAAGTTTACTACGATCTGTTCCATTTTTAATCGTTATCACTGTTTGTAATCCTGCAGGGCCTTTCTTTCTGTAGAACAGTTTAAATCCTCTGAGGATTCCATGTCTAGAGTCAGCTGGTGGTAGCTTCCAGGATACTGTAATTCTCGTAGAACTAGCTGGACACAGAGTGAAGTTACCCGGAGCTTTCGATGGAACTAAAATGAGATATCCCATAAATCAAATGAATCCCTTTATGAACAGATGTTTATATTTCATTTTAAAAGAAAGGGATGTTTTAGTCAAGGTAAAATGATGGAAACCTGTGTAGCCGTACCTAAAATGCATATTCATTGTCCTGAAAATGTACCATACCCTTAACTTGCACTTCAAAAGAGAAATCTACGCAAACAATGAGTATGGGTAAGTGTAAATAAAACCAGAAGAATTAACAAAAAAACGATTGAAACCTTTCTTAAAACTCAAGGCATTTAGTAATCACGCTTTACTGAATGACACTATTCTACAGCTACATCCTTCAGAACTCATGCTGAAAGTGTTTAGAAGGCTTTGTATTTTTTCTAATCTCATTATAATTAGCTCACATATAATCTCAAATACTATCGGTTTAGACCACTTACTATCTTCTTTTGTCTTCGCAACCTTAACTGAGGACTTTGGTCCATCACCAACAGAAGTAAAAGCCAATAACTCAAACTCGTACTCGGTGTATTTAGCTAGCCCTGTCAATGTTTTTGAGCGACTAGTACCATTTGCAATAACTAGCGTAATTTCTTTCCCCGCAGAGCTTTTTTTCCTATAAAACAGCTTAAATCCTGAGATGATTCCATTTCTGGAGTCGACTTGCGGTAACTGCCAGGCTGCTGTAATACTTGTAGAAGAACCTGTAGTCACGGTAAAGTTACCAGGAGCTTGCGAAGGAACTGCAATTAAAAAAAGATGCTACATTACTGGCCAGTAATAGACAACCTGAAACGATAAAACTTGATTGGTTTCAATTGAACATATGAAGAAAATCAAACATAGATTTATTGTACGAACTCTAAAAGAAACCCATTAATAATGCTTATACAAACAAAC